TTATAGCTTTTTCTTTATAGCTCGCTCGGTCCTCGTCGTTCGCGCTCGCTCGCTCTTCGTCGCGCTCGCTCGCCTCTTGTCGCTTGCGCTCGCCCGCTCCTCGTTCGCGCTCGCTCGCTCCTCGTCGCGCGCGCTCGCCTATCGCCACTCGTTGACTCCGCCTGTATCAAATGTCTACGTGCTTACTGCGGTCGCCCTCCGCTCTCTAGGCGCTCGTTGGCTCACATATTTTAATTAATAACTCGATAACTATTAGCAATTTGACATTATGGTACATGACTTTTCTTTTTTTTTTTTGGTAACGCAGGGAAAATCCATCATAAATGCCCCCTTCCCTTGGGAGGGGAGGGGGTTATGTCGGACTCTTACCGACTAAAACCCCTGCGGGATGTCTACCTGTCGGGCCGTTGGGTGGGGAGTTAGGGGAACTGCTTCCGCATTCCCTCTCCAACCCCCCGGCCCCGGGGCTCTCCGGGAGCCCCGCGCTATCAACGTACCGCGCCTTGCCCCACAGAGGGAGTCCAGGGCGCGGTCCCCGGTGTGTTGCCCTACCGGTTGGCCTTCTGGTATCACCTATTAGGAGGAAGGGGACATCCACCCCTCCTCCTTACCCCCCCTCCTTGCTAATCAAGGGGGGAGGGTTCTGGGGGAGTGGGCCCGGCCCCAACCGGGACACCACTCCCCCTTGTCCTACCTGTCCGACCGCACGGGGGGGATCTAGGGAAACCTAGTCCCCCCCGTCCGGACGGAGGCGGGCCCGAGGCAGCCGAGGAGTCTCTGTCCCGTCCCTGTGGACAGGCAGCTCCTTCTCGGCCGACGCCACCTCGGGCCCGCTGCCGATTCCCCCTTCTGGGGACCGCCGACCAGTGCGTCGCCTATTGCGACGCATCCCTGGTCGGCGTCCCCACTCTGCGGCCTCCTTCTGCGAAATGGTCTCCCTGCAGAAGGAGGCCGCTGCGTCCCACGCGTCCTCGCTCCCGCACATGGCCATGACCATGCGCGGGAGCGAGAGTTCCCCCCTTCGGCACCTCACCGCCCTCTCGAGGACCCGGCGCTCCCCGTCCCATGCGGAGTATGCGGACAGGGTGTGATACGCCGTGTCCTCGAGGATGGGACAGTGGTAGCATCGAGTGGTGGGCTCCTTTCGTATCCGGTGCAGATACCGACCGAAGCAGCCATGCCCGGTCAGCATCTGCACCAGGTGGAATGTCATTCCACGTCCCCTCCTGCCCGTCACTTCAGACAGGCAGGGGCGGATAGCCGCGGCCGTTGTGGGACCAGACACTTTCGGGTCGGACAATTCGTCCTTCCACTTCCGAAGGGTCCGGTCCCTGGCCTGGAGCTTCAGGCCCTTCAAATCCCTGGCCGTTAGAGCCCTCTCCCCGTGGAGCTCCTTCACCCGCCAATAGAGGATTGACCTCTCCTCGGCAAGGAGCTCCACGGGAGGGACGCCGGCCAGGGTGGTCGCCGCCATGTATGACACGGTCCGATATCCTCGAATCGCCCTAATTAATACTGGCCTCAAGGCCTGCCGAAGGGAGCGTTTTCCCCTTCGGCAGACCAAGAGGCTGGGCGCCCATATGGGCGCCCCGTATAGAGCGAGTGAGAGCACGGCCGTGACATACAGGCGGCGTGCCATCCATCCTGGGCCCCCCTGGATGCGCATAAGGCTGGCGACCGCCAGGTCCGCACATGATTTTTCTTCTCGACTACACCCAATCTATCTCCAACTTTTATCTGCATGATCAGTTATCAAACACCCTGTATATGATTATTGTATACTTAATACATAAATTTTTATAAGTAAAATTTATATAAAACTTACCTTTTTAAACAAAAAAGGTAAAAAAAGGCGCCAGGTACAAGCGCAACACGTATTGTGTTAATTTTAGAAATTTCAAACCCAAATTATTTTTTTAAGGTATATATGTGTACATAACATAAGTTTTAACAAGTAAAACTTATAACTATAATAAAACCCTACAACACTATTCTACTGTACAAAAGAAGTGATATATTAGAATAGTAGCGCCAACTGAGAAACCTATCATATATGATATACAGGGTATCCCATTTTAATCCGGCCGGCTAAATAAAATTCGAGGATGATATTTTCCAGAAAAAAATGTCAGACAAATGTTGCTCAGTTCTAAGGGGGACATTCGATACCATCAACAGTTTTGACCTCGGGTGAAGGGTTCAAGATCATTCAAGGTTAACTTTTTTTTTCTTAAATGGGAACCCCTATTTTTCACATCGGCAATCGATTCTACGTAAAAAAAAATGAAACTTTTGTTTGAAGCATTTTTTTATAACGCAAACTAATTCCACTTATTCAGCCCCTGAAAATTGAAATTTTCAAACTTTCTGAATTTTTCACTCGAGAATGGTGGGGTTTGGGGGGAAATTGCAGAAGAAAAGTTCTTGGAATGCTGCAAGGAATTCACTCGAATTTTCGCATAGTTGATCGTGCACTTTTTCTCGAGGTACCTACTGACAAGTAGAACATTGGCGGAAAAAAGTGCACGATCAACTATGCGAAAATTCGAGTGAATTCCTTGCAGTATTCCAAGAACTTTTTGTTTTCTGCAATTTCCCCCCAAACCCCACCATTTTCGAATAAAAAATTCAGAAAGTTTGAAAATTTCAATTTTGGAGGCTGAATAAGTGAAATTAATCTGCGTTATAAAAAAATGCTTCAGACAAAAGTTTCATTTTTTTTACGTAGAATCGATTGCCGATGTGAAAAATAGGGGTTCCCATTTAAGAAAGAAAAGTTGACCTTGAATGACCTTGAACCCTTCACCCGAGGTCAAAATTGTTGATGGCATCGAATGTCCCCCTTAGAACTGAGCAACATTTGTCTGACATTTTTTTCTGGAAAATATCATCCTCGAATTTTATTCAGCCGGCCGAATTAAAATGGGACACCCTGTATATGATTACTTAATATTTTTAGAAATCTCAAATTCAAATTATTTCCTTTTTTAAGATATACAGGGTGTCTCAGAACTTTGGGATACGTGCTCCGTAGGGACATAAAGCTAAATGAGAGAAATAAAAAAATCCTCTATCATAATGTGAAAATCGTAATAATTTTTAGTAATAACCGCGTAAAGTTTGGCGCTTTCTACGCCCAGCGCCGCCTATAGACGCTCCGCGGCAAGCTGTGTGCGTTGGGGCTGAGCGATAACGCGTCTCGCGCTGACTGTCGTGATGGCGTCTTGGCGCTTTGACGCCGCGCGACTGTCAGCGCTTATAGGCCGCGATGGGCGTGGAAAACGTCAAAGTTTACGCGGTTATTACTAAAAAACTACTACGATTTTCATATTAGGAGTACAAATAAGTTTCTGCCGTTTTCTATCAAAAATTAGGAATTTATTGTGAAAGAACGGTACATTACATTTTATTCAAAGTATTTTACATCATTAGCCACTACTTTTTCCCATCTTTCTGGCAGCATTCGGATATCACGTCGGAAGAACTCTTCATCTTTTGAGGCTATCCACGAATCGACCCAATTTTTAGTATCTTCATATGATGTAAAGCGCTGCTTAGACAGGCCATGTGCCATCGACCGGAACAAGTGATAATCGAAAGGGGCAATGTCTGGTGAATACGGCGGGTGAGGTAGGACTTCCCAATTAAGTGTTTCCAAATAGGTTTTGACCGGATTTGCAACATGTGGCCGAGCGTTGTCATGTAGGAGAATAATTTTGTCGTGTCTGGAGTAATAATGGGCGCGTTTTTCCTTGAGTGCTCGGCTCAATCTGATTAATTGTGTTCGGTAAAGAGCTCCAGTAATGGTTTCGCTCGGTTTGAGCAACTCATAATACACGACACCAAGCTGATCCCATTAAATACACAGCATGAGTATTTTTCCATGAATATTCGGTTTGGCTGTCGATGTTGGCCAGGTGGTCCCAGTAATTTTCTCTTCTTTGGGTTATCGTAGTGGATCCATTTTTCATCACCAATGACTATATGATGCAAGAAACCCTTTCTTTTATGCCTGGTAAGCAGCATTTCACACGTGCAAAATCGGCGTTCAACGTCTCTCGGCTTCAGTTCATATGGAACCCAATTTCCTTGTTTTTGAAACATTCCCAACGATTTTAAACGATGTGAAATTGCTTGTTGAGTCACTTCTAATGTAAGTGCAAGTTCTTCTTGCGTTTGGCACGAATCTTCCTCCAATAATGCTTCTAATTCCGTGTCTTCATACACTTTCGGCCTTCCACTACGTTCTTTGTCTTCCACGTCAAACTCAATTTTGTTATTATATTCATATTTTTACTATTTGTTATTTTATAAATATATCTTTTAATAAATATTTTTTTCGGATTTAATTATTATAGTATATTATTCACCTTTTATAGAATTGTAAAAATAAATTATATGAAAATATAATTAAATAATAAGAAAAATATTTTTATATTTTGTAGAATTTTTTGTTTTGTTTTTAAAAAAGGTTAAAATAAAAAAATGTTTCATTGTATTGTATAATATATATATATATATATATATATATGGAGCATTCTTTCTCAAAATAGCCACCCCTCTACACATTTTACTTTTGAAGATAAAATGCTTTGCGAGATCTCAAAATTTCCGTCGAAAACTCAATTTTTGGATGCCGTATGGCGATTTTCATTTTCATTCAAGGGTGGGGCAGTATGATCAAAATATCTCTCAAATCCCTCCAAAAAAAAGAAAAAAATGCAGAAGTGTCCAAATAACATTGAAGAACCTCTTCTCATGCGACTTACATACGTTAAGAAATTCTCATGACCCAAATAGGTCTTTCAGAGGTTAATGACATCAACTAAAATCAGAACGACCCTGGGCTTCAGCTTTACCCGATGTACACCACGTGGAGGTAGCCGATTGGATTTTGTACATCATATGGCCCTCAAAAGGGCCGTTTGCATTTGGCTGTGTGTGTGCGTGTGTGTGTGTGTGTGTGTATGTGTGTGTGTGTGTGCACATGTTCGCAAGTTTCAGTGTTGTATATCTTCTTTAACTTTTTCCATGTGACCACCATTCGACTCCATGTTCAGTATTAGAATATCTCTTGATGATGACTTGTTTATTTGGTTTGTCTGAAAGAACGACAACCCCATGATTCTTATTTATTTCTGGAACAGCTGGAGCATTTTCAAACCTCTTATTAATTTTCCTCCTTATATTCTCATGATCATTCTTGCTAAAGTAAAAATTCGCACGAACTTTTGCACTCACCCAATACATGATAACCCACATAACTCTTAACAGCTGAATATTTCGGAAACTATTTATCAAATCAAAAAGTTGTTCATGAGAAAGTTTTATGTATTCGAGGGGCGTTTCTAACTACATAAATATTAAGTTACTCTCTGCTCCACTTGATCCTTGAAGTTATCCCCTGCTCCCCTTAAAGGGGGGCAGGGGATAACTTCGCAATTTCAAACGGGACCCCCTATAAAATGTTAAATGGTTGGGTTCTGCGGTAAAAAAAACAAATGAATTTTGTTGAAAACTTTTTTGTCAGATGTTAAAAGATATGACGGTGTAAAGTTTCGAAGCTACAAGAAATATAAAAGCGTCGCGTATCCTTGTCTTTCATCGGTGATTCAAACGTAAACAAACATTCGTTGAGGTCAATTTAACTATTCATGAAAATCTTGTCAGTTGTATGTTACTATTCAAAAACGTTAGCACCATGAAAATCATAGCTGTCACTATGTTTAATACAGAAGTGAATATGTTATTAGTATTAGGTGAATGCCAAAAGAATTATCGGCGTACAGTAGTAATGCTTTTTGAATGTTATGGGATTAAAAAATTGCACGTGTCATTTTTTAATGTAGAAAAGTAGCTTCGTGAACATGGTAAATTGCGTACAACAACTCACAATAAATGTACAAGTATTACTAATGAGAGAAACAGTGCTGATGTTCTTGGTGAAATTACATTAAATCCTCATGTTAGTCAACGTGAACTTGCCAGAGCATCGGGTATCAGTCGTTCTCCAATTCAACGAATTTTGAAAAAGAATAGATATCATCCATATCACTTAATTCAATCACAAGAATTTTTGGTGACAGACTATAAACGCTGCATAACATTTTGTGAATGGATACGTGATGCTATGGAAAATAATGACTTTCTGTACAAAATACTTTTTTCCGACGAGGCTACTTTTATGAATTCAGGGCATGTGAATAGACATAAAATGCATTATTGGGCCGTTGAAAATCCTCAGTGGATGCAATCAATGCCATTCCAACATCGGTGGTCTTTAACTGTTTAGTGCGGAATAACAGGAGATCTTGTGATTGGACTCTATTTTTTTAAGAAACTGTAACGAGTACAATTTATTGTAACTTATTATAAAACCATTTACCTACGCTTTTGGAAAATGTGCCACTACACGTCAGAAGGGAAATGTGGTTTCAGCAAGACATCGCTCCGCCACATTTTGCAAACATCATCAAACAGTTATACAAAAAATTTGGAGACAAGTAGGAAGGTCGTGGTAGACCTGTTCAATGGCCTCTTCGATCTCCCGATCTTACACCATTAGACTTTATTATGGGGATATGTGAAGGAGAAAGTTATGTTTGAACCGCCAACGACGAAAGAGAATATGAAGCAAAGGATACGCGACGCTTGCGCTTCAGTGACTTCCGAATTGTTAAAAAATGTTAGGAGTAATTTGTTGCTTCGAATAAATACATGTTTACAAGTCCATGGCGGACATTTTGAACATTTAATAAATTGAATAAATGAACAAACTGTGCGTTGTGGTTTTGATTTCGTGTAGCTTCGAAACTTTACACCGTCATATCTTTTAACATCTGACAAAAAATGTTTTCAACAAAATTTACTTGTTTTTTTACCGCAGAACCCAACCATCTTTTTTTTTTGGTAACGCAGGGGAAATTCATTATGGATATCCCCGACCCTTTGGGGGGGTCGGGGATTATTTCAGACTCTTACTGATTAAAACCCCTGCGGGATATCTACCATTCGGACCGTTGTGAGGGGAGTTAGGGGAACTGCTCCCGTATTCCCTCCCCAACACCCCAGCCCCAGGGCTCTCCGAGAGCCCCACGCCATCGAGTACCGCGCCCTGTCCCGCAAAGGGAGTCTAGGGCGCTGTCCCCCGGCCGGTTTCCCGACCGGGTTGGCCTTCCGGTGATTACTTAGAGGAAGGGGACATCCACCCTTCCTCCGCGCCCCCCCTATTTATCGCCCCTCCAAAGGAAGGGGCGGGGGAGAGTGGAGCCCAGCCCCAACTAGGCTTCCACTCCCCCTCGCCCATCCTATCCGACGCTCAGGGGGGAGGCGGGCGAGCGTTACGCGCACCTCGTTGCCTCCCTCCCCCCGCGCGGCCGAAGACGAGCCCAAGGCGGCCGGGGAGGCGGCCTCCGTCTAGCCGGTGGCCTTTCCTCCTCCCCGGCCGACGCCCCCTCGGGCTCGCTGCTACTCAACCCTGGGGAGCGCCGTCCTCCCCGCCGCTGTCTGCGGCGGTCTCCGGGGCGACGCTCCCACTCGGCGGCCTCCTTCCGCGTCAGCACACTGCGACAGAAGGAGGCCGCCTCTCCCCAAACCTCTTCGCTCCCGCACATGGCTCTTACCATGCATGGGAGCGTTACCTCGTTGTCCCTGCACCCCACCGCCCGAGCCTGGACACCGCGCTCCCTGTCCCATGCCGGGCATTCGGACAGAGTGTGGTGCGCGGTGTCATCCAGCTCCGGGCAGTGGTGGCACTCGGTAATGGGCTCTTTCTTTATCCGGTGCAGGTATTGACCGAAACATCCATGTCCAGTCATCACCTGCACCAGATGATAAGTGAGTCCGCGCCCCCTCCTGCCTGCGAATTCCGCCAGGCAGGGGCGGACAGCCGTCATCGTTAGCTGCCCGAACTCTCGCGGGTCGAACATTGCGTCCTCCCACTTCTGCAGAGTCCGGGCAACCACATGAGACTTCAGGGCCGAAAGTTCCCTGGCAGTTGCCTCCCCCCTTTCGCGGAGCTCCTTGGTTCCCCAATAAAGAATACACCTTTCCTCCGCAAGGAGCTCCACTGGGGGAGAGCCGACCAGGGTCGTCGCCGCCATGTATGCTATGGAGCGGAACCCCTGAACTGCCCTCACAGCCACCACCTTCAGCGCCTGGCGCATCAGGCGTTTGCTTTGGGCGGTGGCCAACAGTTGGGGCGCCCAAATTGGCGCCCCATAGAGGGCGATCGAGAGAACCACTCCCACATACAGGCGGCGAGCGTGCCAGCCTGGGCCTCCCTGGGTCTGCATCAACCTGACGAGAGCCAGGCCTACCTTTCTGACCCGGGGGGCCAGACCCCTAAATTGGGCCCTGAAGTCCCACCGGCCGTTCAACGTCAGACCTAGATACTTTATCGTTGGCCCGACGTGGACGCGGACTCCGTCCACCAAGAACCGGGTCTCCGGCGGCGCCCCACGGCTGCCGTCGTGAAAGAAGACGGCCTCTGTCTTGTGGGGCGCCACCTTTAGACCCAGGTCACTAATTGTGCCCACCACCTTTGCAAGGGCCACCTTCACGTTAAAGCGGGCTTCCCCCAGCTCTCCCCCCGGCTACCACTAGAGTGTCATCTGCGTAGCAAATGACGTGGCAATCGAGGGAGAGGGACGAGCGTAACACCCTGTCGAACGCGATGTCCCATAGCAGGGGGCCCAAGGCAGACCCCTGCGGGACACCGCGTTCCATCAGCTGCCGACCCTGGACCCCGCCCTGAATCGGGTAGGCGTGGTCCCTGTCCTCAAAACAGGTCGCGAGGATGCGCCGGAGATAGGCAGGCGCTCGATGATGCTCAAGCGCCCGCCCGATGTCCGACTATGGTAGGGTGTTGAAAGCGTTGGTTATATCCAAGGATTCCGCCAACAACACTCCGCCCCTCTCCTCCACGACGGCACGGGTAAGGTTCCGGAAGTGCTGAATCTCGTCCAGCGTCGATCGTCCGGGCCTGAACCCGTATTGCCTGTCGTGGAAGTCCGGCCCATTTGAGGACAAATGCTGGACGAGGCGGTCCGCGATAATGCGTTCGAGTATCTTGCCCGCCTCGTCCAGCAAGCAAATCGGCCTGTAGACCGGCGGTCCATCGGATGTTTCACTCACCTTCGGGAAGAGGACCAATTTGGCCTTTCTCCACTCTGGAGGGAAAACCCCGTCCCTGAGGCACCCGTTCAACACACCCCTCGTGGCTTCGGACATGTTCCGATCGTCGAGGGCGAGAGTCCAGGCGCAGCCAGGAATGCCGTCAGGACCAGGGGCATTGCCCCTGCCCCCCAGTCTTTTCCTGGCGCTGGCGAGCTCCTCCGAACTGACCCCCAGGTCCTCGGTCCACTCCCCTTCCCGTGTGGCAGGGATCCGCGGGGGGCCCCCTCCACCCTCGGGAAGAGGATATTGAGGAGCCCCTCCAGGTCCTGGGGGTCTAGCGACTCCGTTGGCGGGGGCGCCCACGAACGTATCTTCCCGACCGTCCGCTTGTAGGGGCGCCCCCACGGGTCTTCGTCCAGGGAGCTCACCAATTGCTCCCAGGCCCCCGCCTTCGCTTCGGCTATGGTGGCCTTGAAGGCATTTCGCGCCTGGCGATAGCCCTCCTTTTCCCTCACAGCCTTCCCGTCGTTCCGCCGGGCCCGGGGTGTACACCCGTTTGGCCTGGGCGGCGGCCTCTCGCAGTTTTGCGATGGCCGCCGTCCACCAATAGGCGGCCTGGCGCCGACGGGAGTGGGACCGGGGCATCGCGACGTCACAGGCCGACGTCATGATGCCCACCAGTCGCCTAGCCTCCTCCTGGAGGCTGGCGTCCCACTCACCTGGCATCTCATCCAGATGCCAGGTGGCCGCGAGGATGACCGCCCGGAACACGTCCGAGTCCAGTTGACTGAGAGCCCATATCGGGGGGGGGGTAGCCCGCCCCCCTTGAGTGGCAGCCCAGCACTTGCGGAGGGGCTTGGGAGCCGAGAGCTCAGACAATGTATCTGTAGTCAGACAGGTTGTCGCCCTCGGTCTCCACCACCCACTCCCGGGAACATCCGGGCGGCCGATGGGGAGGCCCAAGTCAAGTCAATGACCGACTCCCCGTTCGGCCGCACACAGGTGCTGGTCGACCCCCTGTTCATCAACAGGAGGCCGAGTCCCGCCGCCCAGCCAATCACGGCGTCGCCCCTTCGGGGAACCCCCTGCCGGGGACTGCAACCCCACTCCGTGGAGTGAGCGTTGAAGTCCCCGGCAACCACGACTGGCCGGGGGTGGTACTGCCGCACCACATTCCCGAGCTCGTCCAGGATCTCCATTACATGGGGCAGTTCGCCGAGACCGGCCGTTTTTGTGGGGGTGCAAATACACTTCCACAATAGTAACGGGCCCCCAGTCAACCGCCACGTACGAGTCCCCCTTTTTCCTACATTTGCAGGGAGGGGAACCCGTGGTGGGGTGCGCCACCATGACACCTCGCCGCTCCGACTCCCGATCCAGTCAGGGCTGAATATTGGAACCCAGGACGGCTCGGTGACCAACCCCAGCCCAGCCTCCAATTCCCTCAACCCGTGGGCAAAGAGATCCTGGGCGCGACGGCTGCGGCTGAGGTTGGTTTGCAGGACCCGGAGAAGGGGCGTGAAAGCTAAGCTTTCGGCCACTCCTCCGGGCTACCCACCTCTGCCCTCTCAGCAGGAGCCTCCCGCAACAATGTCGCGTCGGCTCCGTCTGGGGGGGCTACTTCTACGGGTACCTCCGGGACTGATGTCTCCGCAGAGGTGCAGGGAGTCCCTACCTCTCTTTCCCCCTCCTCTGGGGAGTATGAGGAGGGGTCAGTACCATGAGGAGTCAGAGGAGGCGCATCCTCCAACTCCTCTTCACCTAGGGTCGTTGGAGGTGAGCCTCTTGGCATCACCCTCCTCTCCTTTTCGGCCTCCAATGGTTCGGCATGTCTTACCATTCCCAGGTCCGTTTGTTCCTCTGTATCCGTCCTTTGCGGCCCCTCGCTACTTCGTGGTCCTTTGCTGCAGCGGACCCCTATGGACCATTGCGTGTACCACCTCCGTCCACGAGTCCAGGTCCATGGAGGAGGGGGGAAGCCCCTCCCTCCTCCCCCGATTCCTGCAGCGAGTCCTTCGATGGGTGAGAGGCCCGTTTCTCCCCCCTGCCCCTGCACCGGGTCCTTCGGTGGAGGGGAGATCGGCCTGGTCTCCCCTATTCTTTCCTGGGAGTCCTTTGCTGTGGCAGGGGTGCGGGGTCCGACCCCTTCCCTGGTCCTCTCTTCCCCAACGTTCCTTCTCTTTTCCTTCCTACCCCAATTCCTCGAGGGCTTACAGCCTGGCCCGCCGACCCTATGGTAGGACGAACCCCCCCTCTCGGCGCACACTGCACATTTAGCCGAGGCCGCCCTGCAATACTTGACGCGGTGACCGGGGTTATCGCAGCGATAGCAGGTATCGCTGCGGTCGGCGGTGTTCCTGCACCGCTCGCGCACATGACCATGCTCCCGACATCTGAAGCACAAGGCCACGCGAGCGGGCAGCACCACCACCACGGCGCGGGTCCAGCCTATCTGGACTCACTCCGCAGTGGCGACCTTGGAGACCGCCGCCTGCGGACACCGCACCAGAGCCGTCGTCATCCCTCGCTGGGGTACACGAATGCTACCCACGGACACCTCCGCAGACAGGCACTCCCCAGCGAGAGCTACCGCCTCCGCCACCTCCTGAGCCCCGATCGTCAGGTCCAGGCCCGTGAGCCGCAGCGTCGCGGTCCTCACCGGTCTCTAGACCCGATACTCGGGGCCTTTCTCAGCCGCCAGCTTGCGGAGCTCCTCCGCAAACCGGTCGGCTGGTGCCCCGGCGTTGAGGCTAGGCACCTCTACAAGCAAGGCCCCCGTGAGGACCCGGCGGACCCTGAAGGATCCCGGAATCCCTAGGTCCGCCGGCTTGATTCAGCGTCTGGCCTCTGCCATAAATTGACTGTATTCGCCGTCGGGGCATTTGAGAGTGACGGCGGCTGACCTAGGCGGCCTCAGCTTTACCTGACCCCCCTTCTTAGCCCCCGAGGTGGGCCGGGGAGGAGGGTTAATGGGAAGGAGGGTATCTCTCTTCTCCTCCTTCTTCCTCTTATCTCTCTCCTTCCTGCTCAGCACGTTAGTCCATCCTTTATTCTGCCCCTCCTTCGGCTGGGCCCTATTGGTGGTAGTGGGTCCTCTTGTAGGTCCCACCTTCCTCTCCTCTCGTCGCCTGCGCATAGGACTTCTTTCCCTGGATGGGAGGGATCTCCGCTCCCTGTGTCGCAGGGTCCGGTATGATCCCTTCCGCCCCCGGATGGCAGCTACTTGTCTCCTATTTTCCCTCTGCCTCCTCTGCTCCTTCTTCTTTTGGGTTTTGGTCCTCGGGATTCTGAGCGTCGATCTTTCAGCTCCCTTCGTCCACCCCCGATCGGGTTGGCTATTGCCTCCCCCCTCGGGAGCGGGGTAGTGTCGAGAACTTCAGCCCACGCCACTGTCCCCGAAGACCCGCCCTTTGGCCTGTCTTCCATGAGGCCCTTCCTCATTAGCGTGAGACGTTCTATCTCCTGCGTGAGGCGAGCATGCTCCTCAGTCTCCGGGTCGAAAAGCTCCCTCTCCTCTACGCACTCCAACAGCCTCCTCGTCCATTCCTGGTACAACTCCCTGGCCCCCGCGTCCAGTCCACTAATTGCCAGGGAATCCTCCAGTTCCTTTCTCTGCCCCAGTATCTCCGGTCTACGGACCGAAGGCATCGGAGCAGTAACCTCATCTCACCTGAAGAAATCGAGGTTGTCGTTATAGACATTGACCCCGTCTCCGTCCACCTCCATTTCCTTCACGGACGTGGAGTCCTCCCGGATGGGGGACTTCACGATCTTCCTCCTCTTCTGCTTCGTTTTCCTGCGTCTGGATACTAGTGTCCCCTCCCTTTCACTCGCCGAGGAGCCATCGCCCGACACCACGTCGGCGTACATCCTCCTCTGTGCTGTCGTCGGGTGAGCGGGGGCAGGGGCGGAACAGCTCGCAGCCGCCCTGGCCGCACCTAGCTCCTCCTCCAGCTTCCTGTTCTTCACCTTCACCTCTCTCAGCTTCTCCCTCAGCTCCTTTATCTCCCTCCAGATCCCGGTCACATCCCTATCTTCCTCCCCATCG